CCCCAGACATATTTCATGCAGTAATCATTGTACAAAAACAGCCAGGGTACGACAAAGGAAGCAATAAATCATGGCAGGAGTATTGGTTCTGTTTGGAGAAACATGGAGGGAGATTTCTGGAACCAGTCTTTACACAAAACACTTTTTTGCCAATTCAATCCTTCAGACTGGCTACAGAATTGTTTCGCAACCAAACTATTCCAAATGTCTTCCCCCTGCAGACTCACGAGGGACAGATTGATGCCATATGTGGCAGGTTGGATGTAAACCAGGCCAGTAAAAAGACTTGAATGGAAACGTGTTACTGCAAGGGTCTGCTAAAGCTGTTATGATCCAAAACATCAAATTTATGGAGACAAGTTTTTTTTTACCATCTCCAAACCCAGGACCAACCCCCCACCCCCCCCCAACCCCCTCAATCCCCCTTTGGCAATTTTAACTCGCAGTGAGACACAGCATTTCCAAATGTCCCTCATTCTCATGCTTGGGAAAAAACAGATGCTTGTACACGATGCCAAGCATTTTCTGTTTATAGCACAATTCATATGCTGGGGAGGCTCGATTGATTTCCATCAGGAATTGTATTGATCAGGTTGTTTATGCTGTAATTTGGGCCCGTGTTCAACGTTTTTATGAAACTCAAAATGAAAGGAGCTGATACTACAAAGAATAACCAAATCAAAAAAAGGAAATCCTATAGCATGTTGTTGGGAAATTAAGATGGCTATTTAAAAAAACAAAACAAAAGAAATAAAACACCGTAAGGCTAACAAACAGATGATGTGCTCTGCAGACTGAATTTCCACAAATTCATGAGGGTGCATGTGAATGAATCTACCTACGTTTATGCAATGGTGAAATAAATTAGAAAGAAATGATCGCTTCTTCTTGGCACTGTTTAACGGGTTTGTTTATGTTGTTAAACAGATAATGGTGTCTGTACACCAGCTGCTGGTTCCCCTCTATGTTTGTTTCTGTTCTCACATGATTATCAAGGTCAAGGTCAGAGCCGAAATAATTTGACTGTCTATAAATTGGAAAGAATTAGCAAATTATTGTATCCTGTTTATGTTTTTTCACAATTTCCCAACTTCACCGGAATCGGGGTTGTAATCTCTTGCGGCAGGACGGAAGCCGATCGATTCAAAACAGAAGTCAGACTTGCTTGAAGTCTCTTGCTAGTAATTTATTAATCCCCCCCCCATCTATATGGCTTTTGCATCTACAAAGCCCTCACTCACACAGTCGTGGTCATGAATTATACGGTGGGATTCTTACATCGCGTCCTGACGTCTAATGTTTACCAAAGAGCATAAATTCCCTGAGGTTTCGGTTCAGATTTTGTTTTCAATCAGCGTGAAAACTAATCAGTTCATTACAATTCCAATTCACGTTTCAACAAGCAGAACTCTGTTTGCCGAATTATTACATGCGGATCCACAGGGCAAAAAAACATAACGTACAGCAACCTTCATCCAAAATGCTACTCTGGTCCTCTAGCATTTACATAATAGTCCATGTCACAGAGGAAAAAACGCAGAGCAATATTTGATGGCGCTGTATTGTTTTGCTGGCACACAGCCAGGCTGTTCTGCTGACTGTTATGTTTGGATCCTCACCAAATAGATCACAGAGCCACTCCATACACCGAGCAATCGTCTCCAACAGCTCTGAAATCACGGTGGCCAAGTGCAGTAATATTTCTGTCTGACACTGCTCGGCGGCCGACCCTGCTCTTTGACCTCCGCGCAAAAGATACAAGCAGGAGGATTATTTTTTCCTGCAGGGATCAATAGAGTATCACAAAAAAAAAAGAGCTAACAGTGGAATTTTGTGTTAAGTATAGGGTTTCTATAGAGGGGGAAACCCAGAGGAAACTGGGTCTTTTTCTATGATAACCTAAAATTTCCACTTGCATAAAACATTTTTACTACATTGAGATTATGCAGCTCTCGGAGATTTGCATTCCATGTGTTCTTCAGTGCAGGGAGCTCAAACAAAAAACAGGTACACACAAAGAGCAGAAAATCTGTCTTCAGTGCTCTATTTTACACCAAAGGAAAGGAAATACATGGTCTTGTGCCCCAAGGGTTTATAACTATGCACTTTGCTAGTCACTGTTCTTTTGATGAACTTTTTTACATTCTGCCTTGTTAGAACCACAAACCAACTTTTTTATTTTTTATTGAGATTAATGTGACGGAACAACACAATCTGAAGTGGTAGGAAAATGAATAATGTTTAAGGCTTATCACAAAATTGTACACACCTTGAGACCGAAGCCGTTGCATGCCGTTCTCTACAGATGTACTCAGACTCAGTTAGAATGGATAAAAAAAATTCAATTTGAACTCATGCAACATATTCAGGTTTTTACTTTGATTAGGCCATTCTATCACATGAATATCCTCAAGAAAAATAACTCCACCGTAGCTCTGACTGACTCATGTTATGGCGCCTAACAGCATTTATGCTCTGATCGGCCACAGAAGAAAAGTTTCCCCACAGCATAATGCTGTCACCACCATGTTTCAAGATAGCATGCTAAAGGCAACCAAACCAAACATTCCTGCTTTTTTTAGAAGCTCTCAGACTGACTTTGGACTGATTTGGGATTCTGCGGTATGAGAGGTTGCTGTTTAGCTCCAAGAACAAAAGAAAAGACAGACATGCATCTTTAGATGTTTATTAGCCAATTTATTGGTCGCATGTGAGACAGACAGAGGTGTTAATCTGTTAGGATGTAAATCTGTAAATAACTGACTGCGTGCATGCATGTGTGTCAGACAGTTTTATTTGCGTTGCACAGTAGAGTAGATGATTTAGTTAGTAATTAGGGAATAGAGACGTATCCAATTATTGGTGTTGTGAAATATCACTCTGTCTCGGTAGTTATTCCACCACTGTCTGCAACCTGCCTTATTACGCCCGCTATGATTAGCTAAGTGTGCGAGGAGACGCGGAAAAGAAACTGCGGTAGAAATGAAAGGGAATAAGTTGAGTAGAAAGTGTGTATGTTTGTGTGTGTCCAGGGAAGTTAGTATCCTCATAGGTAACTAATTTCTGTTCATTGTAGATTACAGGTGGCAGGAGCACAGAGGAAGAGCTGCAGCCAAAGCCATTACTGGTGGTCCCATGACACAATGCGTGTGGGGCTGCCATGAAAAATCTTATTTACTACCCAGTGTGTTTCTCTCACTCTCAGTCAGAGTTAAAGTGCACTGATACACACAAAGGGCATCATACATCATAAATGAATCACAGAGCCCTGCTTTTATGGTTGTAAAAAAAAAAAAAGGGAATCGGTCACATACATGCACTCCTGCTCTCAGGTTTGCAGCTGTAAACAAAAAAGGAGGACATGCAAACGGCCATGTGGAAATCTGACTTTGTCCTTTTGGTCTGCGTGGGCACATGTGCAGGCACAATCATATCTCACTTAGTGGAAAAAAAAGCCTCCTGCTTGCTCTGCTTGTCACTGATGGAAACAAAGACCAGGGGCAGCTGAAAGCTGCTATCGCCAACCATCTGGGAGAGAAAGAAGAAAAAAAAAGAGACAGCAGCAACAGCTCTCACAGCTCGCCAGATGCTGCCATAAGAAGAATAAGAAGAAAAAAAGAGATGAACAGATTTTGAAGACTGGAGTGTGAAGAGGAAATATTATCTTCATGGAGAGGGGTCTAATATAAATGCTAAGATGGCTATCTGCTGTGGGCAGTTGTGATGAAAAGAGAGACATCACTTCAGAGAGAAGATGGCATAAGTGTACTCACATTCGTCTTGCAAAAGAAGAAAAAAAACAGTAAGTATTCAATATATTATGCATGCAAAAGTGAGTCACGCGCTGCACTGTGATGCACACTTCATTTCAACTTTATTTTGGTTCTCAGGCACAGCATCAGCGGAGAGTAATATCACAGATTTTTGAACAAAGCGTCCTGCGGAGTCCTTTGTTTTATTTCTCTCTTGCTGTCAGAAAACACACCTGCAGGGACCCCTCCCTACACCAGAGACACAAACCTCATACGGTGACAGATGTCAGTGAGTCTGCTGCCTGGTGAGAAAAAAAAAAATTATATTTACAGGCCACTCATGGGAAGTAGAGGGTGGAAGCTGCTCAAGTGTCACAAAAGGTGCTGGCAGGTTACAGTGCCGCTCGCTAACCACTTCAAATCTCATCATGTTACAAACACAAAACTTACACGCATTTTATTGGGATTTTAGTTGATACAAAAACACAAAGTTGTGCATAAGTGTAAAAAGAGGAATTTTTGTATTTGTATACATTTTGTATTTCTTTCCAAAGACACCCTTACTGCAACTGCAGCTCCAAACCTCTTTCAGGGTATATATATCTCTGTTGCCATTTTCTTCTTCTGTGTTAATTTTATTTTTTGTCTCTCACAGGTTTTCCTCCAGGACTTCCTTTTATTTTGCTCAATCCATCTTCTGATCAGCTCTTGTGTCTCTGTGCAGACGTAAAAAAAAAAGAAGAAGAAGAAGAAGAAATCTTAAACCATGTATGCTTTTCTTTTATTTCACAATCAAACTCTACTTTGCGTTGATCGATCCCAAGAAAAACTCTAAATAACATTTTGGAAGATTCTTGCTGTAGCTTGTAAGAAAAATATTATATATTTATATATATATATATATATATATATATATATATATATATATATATATATATATATATATATATATATATATATATAAAGTTTATCTGGTAAATGTTTTGCAGTGCACTGTATTTACCAAGTTATATGCTCGTTGTGAGATAATGTCGCATCTTATCTCACCTGAACAGCTCACTGAAAACAAAAACACCACACCACAGTAACAGCCGTCCGTCGCCGCCGGCCGCCGGCCGCCTCTCAGCACACCTGATTGGCTCTGGTGACTGACTGGCAGACTCTCGGAGGGCTTTCATTGGTCCGGAGGTAACAGGACACCGTGAAAGAGCTCCACTGAGGGCGGAGCGCGTCGGAGGAGGCGGAGCTCTCCGTGGTACTTAAATGGAGTTGGTGCCTGAAAGATGTGAAGTACGAGCTTCGCACTGCAGCCGGAGCGCCCGGTGCGTGCTGCAAACACCGAAGGAGAAGCGAGAGAAGAAAGAGGGGAAAGAAAGAGACAGCAGGAGAGCAGAGGACTGAGCTGCCCTCTGTACTCATGGATCATAAGGATATCTAATCATTCGCCCTCGGGAGCGCACAGGTATCCTGTTTTTATCCTGCTTTCTACGTTTACTGCTGTGCGTAAAGATTGGCCTTTATATGAAGTGGCTCGTAGTTTTTTCTTATGCTGCAGCTGCCTGTTTGTTTGGCTTTCTCACATTCCATCGGATGTAGTGATTTACGACTTGAGTGTGAGGGAGCAAGGGGGCAGTGGATCATTGATTGACTCAGCAATATGACACCTTTTACCCTCGTGCGCACTGATCCTCGCTGGCTTTGGGTGTTTTCTTAGAATAGCTGCAATCGATTTTGTGCGTAAAAGCCATTGTTTCTGTGAACGGCGGTGTTTTCATGCTTTCCATGTTGTCAATTTCACTCCCAGACACCGCAGTCCATGCCTCTGCCTTGCCGGGTCATTGATGGGAAACCAACTGGATCGGATCACCCACCTCAACTACAGCGAGCTGCCCACGGGGGATCCGTCCGGGCTGGAGAAGGACGAGCTTCGGGTCGGCGTCGCCTACTTCTTCTCTGACGAAGAGGAGGAGGTGGATGACCGCACTCCGTCCGACTGCGGCTTCACCAAGGACCACAGCCCGGCCGAGGAGGGACCCTTCTCGGTCAGTGAAGTGGAGTACTCGGCCTTCTGCTCCCAGGAATGCATCTTCTCCAAGCTGCGGGAAAACGAGGACCTGAACGTGTACTCGGCCAAAACTTTGCTGACCATGTGCAAGCCGGGGGATCTGCTGGAGCTGGTGGCCACCGCGCAAGCCCCCCACTGGGTCATTTACCAGCGTGACGACCAAGTTATTCACCTGCACAAGGGCGAAATCCGCAGGGACAGCCTGCTGGAGATCAGCAACGGTCGGCACGGAAGAATAGTCAACAATCGGTACCGATTCCGGCCGCTTCCTCCGGACCTGGTGATGCAGAACGCTTCGGGACACCTAGGGCTGAGGAGTGAGGAGATTTGTTGGACCAACTCTGAAAGTTTCGCTGCCTGGTGCCGCTTCGGGAAACGGGAATTCAAAGCAGGCGGGGAGGCGCACTCTGCGGAGCAGCAGTATTTCCTCAAAGTGCACCTGTCCGGCAGCGGGGTGCACACTCTGGTCTTTCGGAGTCTGGAGGACATGATCCGCGAGCGGCGGAGAGTGGACGCCAGTGGAATTCTTAAGGAGCTCTCTTTGGTGACCGGAGACAAGGACTGATCAGGAATTCCGTTTGATATCCTCCACCTCCAGTCACCGAGGCGCACGGACGCACGCTTTACTGGCGCACCCACTAAACAGGACCCTCACACATACGCATACAATTAAGTTCCGCCAGAAGCGCACGTATGAATTAGGACCTGTTGTTTTGGGACTGGCTGTTCGTTGAGGACGGACCCCGAGATGCACTGTGGATTTCCCAATAAAATGGAGAGTACTGAGAAACGAGGGAGCGCGGCCATATAAACAGACAACGCCCCGTATGGTTAGGACGCGTGCTGAGTGGCGCACACGATTTCTAATCAACCCCATTAACACAGAACAAGCAAAATCACCTTTACACGGCGCACACGACTCGGTTTGATTTCTTTGATTTCCGAGGGACGGGGACAAAAAAAAAAAGTGGATTCGGCTCCTTTCTTCTCTGCAGCAGCAGAGCAGACCGGCAGAGGGAGGGCATGGGTGTAGATGGGATCTGGGGATGTCTCTCGGAGGTCTCCCTTCTATTTTTTTACTGTTAGCTTTACGACCAGGACAGACCAGAACGACACGAACTCCAGCCACCTAATGGTTCATAGACCTCTGAAAGCCTGAGCTGGTTGCAACAGTTGCCTAAACAAAGCGTCTTGGCTTGACCAAGCTCCTCTTTTTTGCCATATTGTTCTCTCCACAATGCTGTCATCTCGCTCACAGCACTGGATGTATGTGTAAATTGTATTCATACATTGGTTTTAAAATTTGAGTCCCTTATTTTTGTATTTAAGTTTAGTGGATTTATCTCTCTTTTTTGGTTCAAATAAATGAAGGTTGAAATATGAAAAGAATATATTATATATATTATTGACCTGGTCTGTTAGGTCTTGTTTGGCTGCGCACTCACACTCACATCAACAGTGTTGCTCTCCTCATTTGTGCTCACACAAAGCTGTGAAATATTCATGCTCGGATACCTCCTGACCTCTCTCAAACCAAACACGCTTCACACATCTCTGTAGTAATCTGCGTGAAGCAGAAAACATAAATCGGTGATCTTGCAGCTTGTGCTGACTGCTTACAACCAATTCCTTAAAGGCATTTCAGAACTCGTGCTCTGATCTGTCTTAATTAGGATTTCGCAGCCTCCCATGCATCTCTGTGCACATAGTTGACATCACCAGAGTGCACAAAATGTCACAGTCTTTATCTTTAAGCAACACAGCTGCTTATTTATATCAACCAGCTTCCGTGATGGTAGGAAGACGGCTTTGTTTTCCTGTCTTCTTTCCTTTTTTTTTTTTTAGAGTTGGATCAATCACCTCATCAGACACTTATATTTGTTCTGGTGATGCTTACATTTTTCCTTTAATGTGAATTGAAAGGGCAAGGAAGCACATACTTGAAGGTGCTTTGCCATGATGTGTGCATTTGTTGAGACATTAGACATTAGAGGTTGAGGCAGCTTGTGTGCAGTAACAGCAAAGCTGGATTAATGAATATATACGTAAAGCACTGACATCCTGAATCTTGAATCTGATTTGTGTGCTAAGGTTTGCACACTGACTAGATATGAGTCTGTGCATAAACTTTAAGAAGATGTGTTCGGTAATTATTAACTCTTCGATTGTATTCAGTAGCATTTCTTCATAGTGTGACTCGGGTTGCAGCTGTGTCAGGGGGGAGAGATGAGCTTAAAAACAAAACAAGAACAACAAAAACTTAGCTCTCAGTTACAAACCAAGAGATTTCCCAACGCTCCTCGTCATGAAAAGCAAGAAAATGTGGAGGTACGGAGATTCTGTACCTCGAAGCAACCTGCCTTTGAAAAACCCTCCACCTAATTTTGCCTCAAATTATTGCCACTGTGAATCAATATCAACTTCAGTGTCAGCACATAGCAAATGACTTCTATGCCATTCCCATTGACTTGATTTCCCAATAAGCACAAGAAAAAAAAAAAAAAAAAAAACCTGCAGGGTTGAGTCCAGTTTATTTAGCACATTCCAGCAACAAGGTAGTTCAAAGTGTTTTACATAACCTAACGCCCAGTTTTGAAATTACCAATAAACATTATATAATGTCACCAATGCTTAGAGCAGAAGGAGTATATTACCTAGGCTGGTACTCAGGCATGAACTGCAACTGTTTTTATTGACTTCCCACTAAGCACATGGACACATAATTCTCATTTATTATCTTTCTTCTTATAATCCTGTGTTTTGTCTATCCTTTGCTTTTGTAGCTGTTTTTTTAAGCCAACACCAACAAAAATACATCCACATATTTAAAAATATAATTTATATGTGAACTATAATAATGGTTTCAAGCTTGAAAAGATGAGATTTTTTTTTTCTTTACAAACTCGATTTGTTGTTGCCAAACATGAAATCCACCCTTTTGCTGCTGCTTTAGTCCTTTTGCTCTTGCCATATTCCCTAGTGATGACTGTTCTGCCTGTTCAGTACATGTTGAACAGGCTGAGGTTGCCTCAGGTGAGTGATTTTATTTTATTTATTTTTTTTTTCTTAGCGTTCATGTTTATGTGTTTGAGAGAAAGTGAGAAAAGGAGAGCATGTCAGACTTCCCTTGCGAGTTTGATAAATCAGGGTACTGGGGCAGCCAATGCTACTTTGCTGTTTGTGGCGTGTGACTAATAGGACTCGGAGAAAGATGAACATGTGCATTTGTGTGCACACCACCAAAGTCAGCTCGAGGAGAGACACGGTTTGTATGTGGACGCCTTAGATTCAGTTCTCTGTATACACGTAGCGGCGAATTATAGTGAGAAAGCTGCGACTGTGAGGTTGTCTTAACAAGCACTTGCGACTTGCTGTTTGTGTACATTTACCAGCCATATGCTGCGTGCATGTGCTACGTAGCCACAGAGATATCCGCCTTTGTTTCTATCAGCAACAGTGTGGAAGTAGCCGCTGTTACTAGGGAAACTCCAGACACTGGTGTACAGTACATCCACCGAGCTCTCTGCACGCTCCTGAGTGTTACTGCGCAAATGCTTCACAGCCAAAAGCTACTGTAGCTGTCAGCCTTAACAACCACTCATGTAAGACAAATGACATTCAAATCTCTCTCTCTCACACACACACATGCATGGCAGTGTTTCCTTTGGGGACCAGCTATTGTTCCTTTGGCACAGTGGTGTTTAATTTACCCTGAGAATTGTGTTCCGCGTGTGTCTGGACAACGAGGACCTAGCCTTCTGCCAGCTAAATCAGTGGTCTCAGAGGAGATGTTGCGGGGAGGAGGGAACATGAGAGGACAGTGTGCCTGCATGATACCTTTAAGGGGATCTCCCTCCAGTCTAGATAAAGGGCCCTCCCAGCAGTGTTTTTTTTTTTTTTTTTTCCAGCCTTTATTCTCAACGACGGGTATTACTCCACAACAGCACAGCTGGTGGTAAAAACGAGGCAGTTGCAAATGGGCCGCATGCTGCTAAAATGTTGGTGACAGCAGTTTATATCCCTAAACATCTGTTGTGAAACGCTTCATCCATCACCTGGAGTATATCTGCATTTGAACCCACACCTACACGTTGGCATTTAAATCTGATCGCGCGCTGCGCCACATTTGTAAATTGAATGACATCCCCATTAAGGCCTGTTATCTGTGCTCTCAAAGCATCACTGCTGCCAAAGAGAGAGTAAACTCATAAAAGGTCTGTGTATTCTGCATTGTAAGTCTTTTTTTTTTTTTTTTACAGCAGTGATTCCCAAAGTGAGGGATGGGGATGTGAAGGTAAGGCGAGTTTATTTTAGCTGCACTCATAAAAAGTTAGTTCAAGGTGATATAAAGGAAAAGAAACCAGATGAGGAAAGAAAATACCTTAAAGACACAGAACTTTAAAAGAATGATAATATAACAAAGAGTAGCATTAAAATCGAGTAATAAAATCATCTTTGACGCTTTTTGCAGCAATCAGGCCTCATGTGAAGGAGACAACAGTCTCTGCCCATCCCAGGTTTTCCGGGAGTAGGTTTCACTGCCAAGGCAAGGCAATTTTATTCGTATAGCACATTTTCAGCAACCCCGCAATTCAAAGCGCTTCACATGATTAGAAGAAAAAAACAAAACAACGAACAAGCTGCTACAAATTAAAATGCTCCAAATTTGCTGAGATTAATCGAAGGTAGCTCTAAACAGGCAGGTTCTCGTTGATTTAAAGGAACTCAGTGGTTTTGCAGTTTTCCGTAAGTTCTTTTCTAGTTTAGTGAAGCATGAAAACTGAATATTGGTTCTCTATCTTTGGTACTAGTTCTGTGGATGCTACTCGAAAGAGAAGACCTGAGTGGTTGGAAGGTTGATACAACAATAACGGCAGGTCTTTGGTGTGCTTTGGTGCCAAAGCACGCCACAATTTATAAACTAATAGAAGCATTTTAAAGTTTGTTCTGTAAGTTACAGGGAGCCAGTGTAAGGACTTTCAAATTGGGGTGATGTGTTCTAACTTCCTGTTTTTAGTGAGAAAGCGGAGCAGCAGCATTTTGAATCAGCTGCAGCTTTCTGATTGATTTTTTTTTTTTTTTTTTTAGGCAGACCTGTGAAGACATCATTGCTGTAATCCATGCAACTAAAGATAGGCGCATGGATGAGTTTCTCTAGATCTTACTGTGACATTATTAGTCTTTCTTCATGTGTTAGAAGGCCGACTTTGCAATCGCATTTGTGTGTCTCTGACAAATCAGGTCTGAGTCCATCACTACCCCCAGAACACTTTGTTTATAGATCAGATTCTGGCACGCTCACTAAATGTGACTCTGACTGTGAGGGGCAGGGCTTGGCCAAAGGTTGAGGGGCCTTAAGCAGAACTGGATTTGAGGTTAAGAACATCGCCACCACTTTTTAATTTTACACCAAATTAGACAATGAACTCACTAAATCTGCTCCCCAATCCCACAGTTCTCAACTTCAGCTGCAATATTTAGATGGTAGGGTCTGAATTTGCTGTTAAAAGTATTAAAACGTGGATCCGTCCTGTGTTTTTTCAAAGCTTCAGACTGTTAGTGGTTGTGCTATGATGCAGTTGATATTTTCTTTGTAAACTTTGCCTACCTTAAAACCAATTGAAAACTGTTTAAACACCAAAGCCATTCTGAGTATTTTTGCTGACTCTGTTCATCCCTTTATGTCTGCTATCTCCTGATTGCTACTTTAACCACAATATATTTTAATACAGATTTGGCGAAATCTGGGAGACGGGAGTACACTTAATCAGCCGAGCTTCAAGGCAATAGCAGATAGTAATGTTTGCTGAGATGTATTTGTGAACAAACCAAGCTCAAACACAAAGAAGAGATCAAACTTGTGAGAGTCAAATTGAGACATCATGAAATAATGATTATTCTTTGCACTTTTGCAAAGTAAACGTGATCATTTCTGTAAATCTTAAATATAAATTTGAAACAATTTGA